AGAGGTGGAATTTAAATCTTTTGCAGGTGCACCATCCTCACATCTTCCATGGAAAATAATGGAAAAGGCAAAAAAATTCATTTGTGCCTGTTTAAATGGCGATAGAAAAGGTGTCATTTATTTTGGAGTTGAAGATAATCAAAGAGAGGGTTCAAAATTTCGACACGGAGAAATAACTGGACTCGATGTTGAAGATATCAAAGACGACATCACGAAAGCATTTCAAGATTTACTCAATAACCACATCAAGAGTGACGGTGGACCACTACAAAAAGGAGGAGAGCAAGACTGTGTAAATCTATACTTTGTTCCCGTTAAAAGCGAAGGAAATAAAGTCGATCCATATGTGATAGAAATTGAGGTTTCCAGAGATTGGCGATTCTGCAAAGATAATGTCTATTACTCTAAACGCTGGATCGAGAAGAAGACAACGGATGAGAAAAAAGATGCGAATGGAAAGAAAGGACTTCACGATCTCTTCAAAGTAAAGGATGAGCTTGATGATGTGGCAATCAGGACCAATGGGGCATCGGCTTGTGTGAAACAAGATGAAGTACGATGGCAAGTGAGAGAGCCTTTAAAGACAAAGTTCGATGAGTGGAAACGAGAAACATCGGGTAAGTGCTCTGTTACAGCTCACACATACTATAACTCTCAAACGAAAGGCGAAGGTGGCGCGAGGAAGGAGATGAAAATTACCTGAAGTTAGAATTCTAAAACTGTTTTTGCTTTTGCATGGCGGTGGTAATCATCTGGGGGTAAGAGACTAGATAATACATGATTGTTTAGAAAACGCGCTTACCCGTATAAGAAGCTCTCAACAGCCCTACTCTACAACTACCATTTCAGCACATTTTGAGTGTCTTTATCCATTTTTGTAGGTATCTAATTCCCCTTTTTACCTCACATTTAGTTTTCCGTACATTAGGCTTTTTCCGTGCATCTAGTTCATAATACGCTCCAGGGATTTTAACAGACTAAACTAAAAGGGAATTAATTTTTGACCCATATTTGAGTTCATTTTCACTTGCCCTACGTCTTACCTGAACGTCATCATACTCTCCAAGTGGAAAAGTGCCGACATGGAACTTTTCAAAAGTGTAACAATGCCACATTATGAACCCTTCTTATCCTTCTTTCTCTGCCAGGTGCCAGTGACTTAACAGTTGGTAAGTAAATGTGCAGAAACAGATTATAAGGTTAACGTTTTCCCTTAGATACAATTTGTCAATAGGTCTATAAGTCACTTTCAACGGTTTAAATAATATATATGTTTCGATTCAATGCGCGCACGTTGAATTGTATTACATAGAGACCAAATACATGCACAAGATACAAAATGATAACATTGTTCCTGACACTTTTTACAGCTTGTGCCGAGCAAATGGTAACACTGGGATAATTGCCATCTTTGCCGGTTGTAAAGGGCTATTAGAGAACTATAAAATTGTTTTGCTGACGCATACAAAAAGCCGTGTAGCCAAAAGTGTGAACGGGATAATTTTTAGCTCTTAGAAGCTCCCTACATTATTCAATTGAACAAATTTATGAGAGTTACACTGCAATTTACTAGCATTCACCACGTAAAGGATCGCATTTCTGATTTTATTTTTTTGTCCGTTTTTAAACAAAAATCAAACAAAACACTTCAGGCGACCAAAGAGCGCAAAAAGGAGCTCCAAACGGCCAAAATCTTAAAGACCCTCGAGTGACCTTGTTCCGAGATTGGTTATTAGGTTGGTTAAAGCCAAGTGAAATACTTTACCAATCATAACGGGAAGTGAAAAAAAAAACTTATTCAGTCGAAAATCGACAGGTCAAAATTCGATAGAAATAGTAGAGATGGTAAGTTTTGAGCTCGGTGAAGAATTAAGATAGATGTTTTTCGTCTTGTCACGAGCGTGGGACAAAGAAAAAACTCTGAGTCCCAATGAGGAATCGAACCTCAGACCTTCGGATTTGCGCTCCGATGCTCCACCACTGAGCCACAGAGACTCTTCGAGTTCAAAATTGCTTCATTCATTCATTTTCACTTCAGAATTCATCATGGTATTATTCTTCTGCGAGCAATAATTATAACATTTCTCTTAACGGTCAAATCCTGTCAGTGATCCGCTTTCGATAATGTACAGGCTCTGAATAGTGTATAATCCCATACTTTTAGGACAACGCCCTGATGATGCAGACTTTCAAAGGTTCATCCCCATTGTTAAAGACCGATTGTATGATTTGGATTTCAAACAGTATCATTACGTTCTTATTGCCAACAAAGTCCCTCCCAAGTACAGAGGAACTCCTCATTTATCTTTTCTCCAAAATATTCCTTGGATGGCTGTTTTTGACTTGTTTGATCCTGCCTCAAAGAAAGATGGATTACATTTTATTTGTAATGAGATGAATGACGCACCCAGAGCAAATATTACAACTCTGGATGACTTCAAAGACTTTTCGCCTGATTGGATTGATGACAAGAACTGCACTTTGTTCACAAAAGGAACGACTTGGATTTTTCAACCACAGAATCTTCAAGACAAAGAATGGATCACGTGTTCAGCCAAGTACTATTTCTTCCATGCTCTGTCCGCTCTCAAGCAATACTCTCCTCTCAAGCGACTGATTGTTGTTATCCTTGGTCTTGGGGAGAACGCGATCACGGAGATGGCAGACATATCAGAGAGCTGTTTCACCATACTTGGTGGGGACGTGGCAAAGAAATGTGTTACCATCATCATTGAGAATGAGCCAGTTTTAGATGCATTAATGAAGGCTTCAAAACCAGCTTTACAAAAACGACTCAGAGATTGCTCTATTAGCAATATATCGTGGGAGTTACTGAAAGAAATTGTTCGCATGATGGTCGGACCTGCTGAGTTTCAGGAAAAAGGAGCTACTACGATACTCCCTTTCATCACAGGTCCCATAGAAGTACTTAACAAAATTATCCACTCCTGGGAGGATCTTGAAATTTATTGCCCAAATCCTCGATTAACAAATTCAACGGAAGAAATTGAAAAAGCAAGAGAGACATTCTACAAAGGAGGACAAGTCAGCCAGGTTAACTTGCTTCACAACCACAGCATTCAAAGGACCCACGAGGAAGAGCTAATTCAGAAGATCGAGCAAGCAGTCAATTCTCTGAAAGCATCAGCCCGTGATTCTTGCTCTGTAAGAACAATCACTCTTCTCTTTGAGCCAGGATCGGGAGCAACAACTCTATGCCGTAGAATTCTCTGGAGTAAACGCAAAGATTATCGTTGTGCTGTAATCAAGTCAATTTCAAAGACAACAACTGACTTTCAAATCTCAAAATTTCAAGCCTTTGGCTACGATGAACCTCACAGCATTTCACCTCCTGCTTTGATCCTCAGTGATAATTTCCCCGAGATCGACACACAAGGCTTGTCGGAGCGATTACAAGAGAGAGGAACAAAATGCGTTATGATCGCCACCTATCCTGTCGGAAAAACTGGTGCAGACACTACTTCAGATAGCAAACCACTGGGCCAACTGGATGAAGATGAAATGATCCTTGTAAAGGACATCCTTATCAATGTGACCAACGACAAGGGACGTCGAAGGGAGGCTGAAGAAGTGCTCGAGAGAGAAAGACGATTTATTTGGCTTGGATTGGAGCTCTTCGGTCGGGAGTATGTGAAGATTGAGGAACGAGTTCGTAATCACATCCAGAGCATTCTGTCTACCCTCGGAGATTCTCGTGAGACACATGAGAGGCTGCTCCATTTTTGCTGCTTCCTCCATTTTTATAGTAATGGTGCAGACATCTTGCCCCACTCAGTTTTAGTTGACTTCCTTCAAGAAGAAAGTGTTGAGACAGATTCAGAGTGTGCTCAAGTGTCGTATATTCACGACAAATTCGGAGGTCTTATTCTCAATGAATTCAACGAAACTTACGGGTATCATGGCTGGCGACCTGCACACTCCCTTGTCAGCGAATTCGTCAAATCACAAATGAATGGGAAAGAAATTGCAGAACAACTTTTAGAACATGCCGATAGAGGAAAGGCTTACGTCAACAAATATTTAAAACAACAACTTTTCCAGATTCTGTTGCATCGTGAAAGGGTATCTAATGAAGCAACCATTCCGCATGAAGAGGACGTGGCTGAAGATGAAATGAGTACTAGTATCGAAACTGAAGAACAAGGATCTTATTATGTCCGCACCCGGTACTCCCCGCTGATACTGGAAATTCTAGGGGGAGAAGATGGCAACCGAAGAACATTAGATTTACTCATTACGGTTTGCCAAAAGGCAAGGAAAACGGAATATAAAGCGTTTGCCTGGCAGTATTTGGCAAGATTCATTGGTTATGAGATGCGATTCAAAAATTTTGATGGAGAGGACACTTTACACAGTCGTCTATTTGATGAAATGAATTTAAACAGAGAGGGGGGAGCCATGCAGTCCATGCCGGAAACTGGTATTCAAGCTGCCCACGTTGCAATTGATATCGCTATTAATCTACAACCCAAATATAGAAACCATTACACGACCAAAGGTGCTCTGTACATTCTACGCCTGAGAGACCTGAAAGCTGAATCTGGACATGATCTTGAGGCTTTAATGCACGATGTCATTGACATAGGTCGCAAAGCACTGGAGGTGTATGATCACGCAATACCGGGAAAACACGGACACAACCTTTACTCCGTGATTGGCAAAATACAAGTCATTGTCCTCCTCCTAAAAATCGTGAAGTCCTTACCTTGCTTCTATCTGGAGAATAACAGCTACACAAGGTATCTCGAAGGGGGAAAGATCCCAACAGGAATGGCAGACGTGCTTCTGCAAGAAGATCACAGCTTTATACAGAGCCTTGGTCAAATCACTCTGGACACACTTAACGAACTTTTTCAGGATGTCAAATACAAGCTGCTGACCACCTGTGATGAAAATGAAACAAGGCGCCTAAGCTGCACAAATGTCAGGGCATGCAAGTTGCGAAGAGAATTTTACGAGATCACTGAATTTGACCGAAGTGAGATGATGGATACCCAAGAGGAGTTATCATCCCAGTCTAAAGAGGCAGCACTCCACCATAGGCAAGTGGTACATGTCAGTAACGTACTGGTTTATTCACAAATATCTCCAAATGTTCAAAGTCCGTACGGCCACGGACCACAAAAATATAACACAGTTGCACAATCCGAGGCACACAGTGAAAACTCACAATCGACACGTTCCTTGTTTACATAAAGGCGATGCGAGTGGTTTTCTGCAAAAAAATATAAATGTCCAATGTCTTATATGTTCTTCAAAACGTTTACAAATGTCCACAAATGTCCACTTACCGAACTGTATGGCCTCTCGGTTTAAAATAAACGAAATAAGCTCTGTAAACTCCGTATTTAATAACAAATAAATCTGGCACTTGAAAGCACATGGCAAATACAACAAGATTGCTCGCGTGGTCACGTGACCGCAAAAATGACAAAGTCCTACTCAGGGGAGTCGGGAGTGACAGTACAAGATGTCCTTTTCAGGGAAAATGAAACATCTTATAGTGCCTGGTGCAACCTTGATGACGAGACAGTTTTAAGAATTTATAATCTCCTAAAACAAGTTTTTCAGCGGGGTCGTGGAAACCATGACGACATGGTGATTTTCTGTCGAGCCTGCCTGCGTCTACAACAAACGAAAGTACCAGTTGACGAACTCGAGAGTGTTGTGCAGAAGTGGGTGAAGAGGAATCCTGATTCAGAGTGGGTGCATCTTTTTAACTATATGATCCATTTCCCAATTCCAAATGGAAGTTTGGCAACCAATACTTCAGAGGCATCAAAGTCTGTCGAAAAATGTTGGAGAAACGTTCGTCAGAGGAGAGGCATGGGTGCTCGTAAATCTGCCACAGAGTACTTTCTTGGAAATGGCATGGGGCTCTCTGCCATAGTAAGCCGTCAACAGTTCCCAGAGCTAGAGAAAAAGCTGGAATCAAAAACTGACTTCTGGAGAAGCAAAGAAGTATCTGAGACACTCTTGCGAGTACGAGGTCAAAAGAAGTCAAAGGGAATCATAACATATCACGGAATTCAACTTCATTTTGACGACTCACTTTATCCAAGAGAGAGTAAAGACGACCTCTGGTTTTATGTTGGCTTCTCAGTCGCTGGTCCTTATGGATTTGATCCTATCGACAAGGACACTTATAATTCCATCATGAACAGGAAGCAAGGGAAAAGAAGAACACCACACTCATCCATGAGGAAGTCAAAGTTTGGTGGTAATGCTGCAAAGAGTGTTGTTCCATCGAGAAGAAAAAACCAAAAGGTCAATCAGCTAAGAAGAATTCCTGCTAATGTAGAAGCCCACACCTCTTTTCAGGACGGTAAAAAGCTACCAAGGGAACTTGCCTCCTGTCCATCTGGATCGGAAATCTACTCCCAGTCAGCCAATGAAGCTCTTGATTTGCCTTTAGCTGCCAGTAACGAGTCTCCGAAGTCTGGAATGATGGGTGCTTCAACAGGCACCCACAAAGACGGTGCAAATACCACTCAGATATGTACTTACGCAACTGTGGTAAAGCAAACAGCTGCAAAAACCCAGGCACAAGGTCTGAAACCTAGCCAGTTACCCGGCAGACAGACTTTGGTTCCTCAAAAAGGTGGCTCATGGAAAGCCGTCGAAGGGACCCAGGGAGGAGTGACGCAGGAGTTCCAGCCAACACACGTTGATCAGGAAGGACGACTGCACCATGGTTTTAAGGTTCTAGGGGCGTTTAAGTCTGTAGAATGCAGGATTCACAAAGGCCCTCGTTCCCTCCTTTCCGATATCGATGATTGTAGCTTTGCACATTCATGGAAGGGGGATACGCGGCAGTTTGTATGTATCATGTGCACACGAGAAAGAAAGTGTTGCAGACAAAAAGAGGAACATAAAAAGTTTATTTGGGACTTAGGCCCCTATCTTAACGAAAACGGTACCTAATGGAAAAACCCTTACGTCTGATATGAATTAACATATTAAGGTACTCGTTCCTCGTAGTAATAGTAGAGGAATTTCGATTCAAAAGTTGATGTTTCTTAGAAATCGCCCTTTAGGTTATTGCAGGATGAAATCAGACAAAATCAAAAGCTCCTTTTGTTATCACGAAATAGCTTACAAGACCAAACGTTCCCCTGTCTTTGTATTAAGGCACAGAAGTAAACAAGCGGTAACATTTAACACATTCCACCAGTGGTTCTCTTTTACTGCATTCCTGACAGTTTTTGTGCACATCAATTTTAAACTTAAACATTAACATGCTAATCTAGGTTTGTAGTTTTACATTACTTTCTAGTAACAAAAGGATGTCATTTGACCTGTAAAATTGAATGGTTAACCTACAGGTAGTCAAAGCAGTAGTTCAAACAAACAACATTTATTGAAACACTTTTCTTACTTTGAAAGCTAGCCTGTTTTTGCTCGATTTAACGATCAGATTTCTCAAGGACCAAACTTAGCCTAAGTAAAACTTGAGTCCAAATTACAGATATCTCGTAGCAATAAAGCTGACATCGCTCTATCTTGTGGAGTGTTTTGTGCATTAGCAGTCAACCTCATTCCCAGGGTCTTTTTTCTTCTCATGTCACTGCCCCCGTAGGGATTGCCGGAAGAAGACAAAGTGGGTATGACTGGCTTTGTCTTCAGAGTAAGTTCTTAAGGGTTTAACTTCTTTCACAAAGAAGAATCACTTCAATTGTTCTTCGCAACTACGGAAAATAGACTTGTCGTATTCCCAGGTTGCCAAACGCATCATCATCTGTAGTGTTTTCTTGTTAGTTCCTAAAGATTAACAACATAATTTTAGGTTAAAAATTTGTGAATCGAGTAAGCTATCCAGCTTCCTTTCAACAACAGATGAACATCAAGTAATGTTAATTGAGCCAAGCGATCCGTAAACTTTAAGCTGCCATATGCGGAAATTATTTTTAAAGAGGAACACTTTTAATTGTATGAGCAACAATTTGGTAAAAACAGAAAAGACATTTACAGTCGAAATTTGAAAGACACCGCCATCCTCTCACTCACACGGAAGTCAACGCTAATATCGTGGGAATTGTGAAAGCCTATTGCTACGTGTAACTGGTCGTGAGAATAAAAGACGAGGAAGAATTGTCACAGAAAGGGAACAAAAGACCAAATCGAGGAGAATTAAAGTCTATTGACAGAGGTGCTATGTAAAACCTCGAAAGCTTTTCCCTTTTTTCAACATATGTGCCATGATTGTAACTAGTACAAGTGAAAATCAAAGTCAACATAACAACGTTGTTTGGGCTTTTCGCCGAGTTGGCCTTTGTTTATTGAAGCTGGGGGGAGGTAAGTCCTCACCCCTCGTTTTCCAACTCGCGGGAAATATTTGGGGAAATTTAACAATGTTACATTTCCCCAAATGCTGCTGTTCTGCTGCTTTCAAAAACATTTGCAAAAATAGTTACCTGCATCGGAATTTCAGTCATCTCGAACCGACGTTTTAACTGCAAAAGACAAAAATTTGCCAATCCGCAAAATAAAATTGCAGTTTTCATGCTACACAGCTTTCGTCATAGGAAATGTCGTTATTTTGATATATGCACAATAAACAAATA